AAGCCCCATGGGGCTGGCAGTTTCAGGCTTCTATATTGGCTTAGCAGTTGTTTCCTACTTTTGTCCATTTTCCAGGTCTTTCTAATTTGCTGTTTTCTCCACTTTTTCTCTGGTCCAACATCCCCTCTAGTAGATCACATTCCTCCTCCACTTTGACTTGCTCACCTACACATGGTTATGCATTAAAGTTTACAACTGGTTAGTCTTCCTTGGTTCCTCTAGCTACTCTAGATACTTGGGTCTTAAGCCATGTCTCTTCATAACCAGCAGCCAGGCACTTGAGGCCACCATGGGGGTTGTATCTTTCTTAGAGCTCATGTAAGTTCTGTTCCCTTCACTACTCAGAAGATTGACTGCCCATTTTGGGTAATAACTGGTAGCTCCTCTTATCTCTCTTCTTAAACATTTGTCCCTGGTTTCTGGGTATCAGGAAGGGATTACTCTCCTAGTCTACCTCCTTCCTTGGGTAGAAACTGCAAAGGATACCTTCCAAAATCACCTTATTGTTGTAATGGTCCCAAGATCTTTAGACAGCTAGCCAGTACCCATTTCATGGGTAGAGGGGGTATTCTAGGCCAGATATGATCCAGTCCCATAACTTGATCTGTATCCTGCAGGGTATGGCCTTTCTCCACAACAGCATTATTTCATCCCATGGGAGTCTCAAGTCCTCCAACTGTGTAGTGGATAGTCGTTTTGTGCTCAAAATCACAGACTATGGCCTGGCCAGCTTCCGATCAACTGCTGAACCAGAGGACAGCCACGCCCTCTATGCCAGTGAGGCCCCCACAATCCCCTTTTATATTGCTCCTCTGGCCCTGATCATTTCCACCTAGGGAGGGTGGGTGAGGGAGATGAAGTTGACAATAATATGGGAATGAGCCCAGGTGGGCTTTGGGGTGCCCTATTTTGGAGACCTGGCCAGCCTGTTCTCTTTTTTCAGAGAAGCTGTGGACTGCCCCAGAACTGCTCAGTGAGAACTCCTTGCCAACCACAGGCATGCAGAAGGCTGATGTCTATAGCTTTGGGATCATCCTACAGGAGATAGCACTTCGCAGTGGTCCTTTCTACTTGGAGGGCCTGGACCTCAGTCCCAAAGGTGAGAGTCAATCCACTACCCACAGCTGCTTCTTCCTGGGGGGAAGCCTGTTCTTCATCCAAACCTTTTATCACCCTCAGAGATTGTCCAGAAGGTCCGAAATGGTCAGCGGCCATATTTCCGGCCAAGCATTGACCGGACCCAACTGAATGAAGAGCTAGTTTTGCTGATGGAGCGATGTTGGGCCCAAGATCCAGCTGAGCGGCCAGACTTTGGACAGATTAAGGGTTTCATTCGCCGCTTTAACAAGTGAGAGGGCACTAAGGGGCAAGGGCTCCCCAGGGATAGAAGCCTCAGCAGTCTTCAGTGGATGAAATGGGGCTGGTGGGGCCAGAGGGTGGGTTGGGCAGAAAGTCCTGGGAGTCTTGAGAATCTTGCAGCAGGTGCCATTTCCTGGCCTCCCCCCAGGGAGGGTGGCACCAGCATATTGGACAACCTCCTGCTGCGCATGGAACAGTATGCCAATAACCTGGAGAAGCTGGTGGAGGAACGCACACAGGCCTATCTGGAGGAGAAACGCAAGGCTGAGGCTCTGCTCTACCAAATCCTACCCCAGTGAGACCTTTTCCCCTTCCTGAATATTCCTTTGGGATTCTTCTCTGTCAAGTTCTGCCTCATCGGGCTCCTGAGAACTCACTTCCAACCCTCAAAACCCTGCTTGCCACAGTGAGCCCGCCCAATGTAGACTACATGCTTCCGTTCTTTCTCCACATCAGCTGTGCTGCATTCTTTCTGACTTCCCTTCTTAGGACACTGCTCTACCATGCCCTTGCTTCAGCAAGTGTATGTCAAACAACCGCAACTAGAGACGCTTAGCTCCCACGTGCAGGGATCCCCTCACAGCCCCTCTTGCCCCAGACTGTAATGTCATCCCGGCAGCTTTCCTTTTCCTCTACCAAGCTCAGCTTTCATGTGACAACTCCTCTCTGCTGCAGCCACATACCCCTTTCCTCTCCCTCCTCCACTCCTATCCTCTTTCTTGGAGTTTGGCTCACACTGCACCCTTGCTTCCTAGTTCAGTGGCAGAGCAGTTAAAAAGGGGAGAGACTGTCCAGGCTGAGGCCTTTGACAGTGTTACCATCTACTTCAGTGACATCGTTGGCTTTACAGCATTGTCAGCAGAGAGCACCCCCATGCAGGTGAGAGCCATGGGTGAGAGGCAAGGGTGGGATTAGGGACCTGGAGGAGCTTCACTGACAACAGGTAAAATTGGTTTGTTCAGGAGTTCCCACATCTTATGATGGCTCGTGGGTTAAGAATTCTTAGAAAGGTGGGCACAAGTCTCAGGGCTTCTGCTTTCCTATACCTGTTAGGTGGTGACACTTCTCAATGACCTGTATACCTGCTTTGATGCCATAATTGACAACTTTGACGTCTACAAGGTGAGAGCTGGGGCCGCCCTCCTATTAAGACCATTTTAAAACCCAGTCTCCCTGATCCCACATACCTTATCTGCTTTCCATGGTCAGTGTTCCCTCTAGGGTCTCCAGCATCCTAGTGCTGGTGTGTACTTCGTAGACAGATGTGGCTCTGGTACCATAAATGTACCTGCCAGGCTAATTTCTTGTAAATCCTTAGATTTTCCTAACTAGAACCTTCATAAGATTTAGCTCCTATCTCCCTGGGGGATAAATACAGCCTATCCATCTTTTCTTTCCAGTCCTCTCCAGACATGGAAGAATCATACAGGATGTAGGTATAGATTTAGTGGGATAAGGGGCAAGATATGAAAAAAATATATAAAGCTTTTTGTTGAAGCCACTGAGTTGGCAGAGGATTGGCTTTAATGTCCTTGGGAGTAAAAGTGATCTGGATTTGAACATTGGCTTGTTGTGGCCTTAGGTAAGTAACAGAATCTCTCTGAGCCTCAGCTGTTTTATCTATAAGATGGGAATAATACATTTACTGTATGGAAAGTGCCTAACATTGTGTTTGGCACATGGCAGGTAATATCTATTCCTGTCCCTTCGTTTCAGACTTACTCTACAATCTCTGCCGTTTCTGTAACAAAGAACTCCCATAAGCCCTTTGCCCAGATTCACTAATTGTTTATATTTTCCCCATTTGCTTCATTTTTAAAAATCAATCTACATAATTATTTTCTGAACCATTTGAAAGGAGTAGTAAGTTTCAAGCTTACTACTCCTTTATCCCTAAATACTTTGTGTGTATTCTCTAAAAACTCCACTGTGTATTTCCTAAAAACAATGACATTCTCCTGTGTGGTTTCAGTACCATTACCAGAACCAAGAGCCTGTCTTCTCCTCTCTGACAGTTTGGGCTCTGTGGCCCATTCCATGGGGCCTGTCTGGCCTCCTTGCCAGCTTCTGTATTCTTCAGCTTAGCCTGTTTTCCTTTTTCCCATTTCCTGACAGCAGAGCCTATCTGTCCATGTCCTGTTGCAGACAGGGTGTCCATTCATTCAGCAAACACTTACTGAGTGTTCACCAGGTGCTGGGTTTGGGGCAGGAGGATTTAAAGATTCCCTTGACATCTCCTTCCCCCCAGACTCTCAGGACTATGGCACTTGTTTTCTTGTCAACGTTCTGGCCTCCCAGGCTGTCAGGATGATCATGGTGGTATCTTGTCTTCCTCTATTCTCCTCATGCCCACTGCTAAAGATAGAGGTGACTTTTTAATCCTCCTCTTAATCAGGTGGAGACGATTGGGGATGCCTACATGGTAGTATCTGGCCTCCCAGGCAGAAATGGTCAACGCCATGCACCAGAAATTGCTCGTATGGCCCTAGCATTACTGGATGCAGTTTCTTCCTTCCGCATCCGCCACCGACCCCATGACCAGCTAAGACTACGCATAGGGGTCCATACTGGTAAGGCTGACTCTCGCCCAGCCCTAGTCTCCACCTTTCCCAGGCTCTCCCAACCAGCTTCTTCTCATAGGGCCAGTCTGTGCTGGGGTGGTTGGCCTGAAGATGCCCCGCTATTGTCTTTTTGGAGACACGGTGAACACTGCCTCTCGAATGGAGTCTAATGGTCAAGGTAAGACATTAGCCTTCAACCCTCATCAGCCTGCACTTTTCTTCTTTTCATAGTTCCCCCAAGTCTCTAAATCTGAGAGACCACAGTTCCTAAGTGCCCCATCCTTGGACATATTTTGGTTCTAGTGGACATGCGTTTGGAGGTCTGAGGGTGGTTGGTTGGGTAAAGTGCTCTCTAATACCACCAATTCTATTGCCTTTTCTTTGATTCTTCTTTCAACCCCACATCCCACCCCAGCCCTGAAGATCCATGTCTCCTCTACCACCAAGGATGCCTTGGATGAGCTAGGATGCTTCCAGCTAGAGCTTCGGGGGGATGTGGAGATGAAGGTGATGGCAGGCCATGGGGAGAGGGTCATGGAAAGGGAGGATGAAAGTGATCATGGGGGGTCATGGAGGAAGAGAAGGAGATAAAGGGACTAACACAGAAGAAATCTGAATTATGTCTACTCCCCTGCTTTCAGGGTAAAGGAAAGATGAGAACTTACTGGCTCCTAGGAGAGCGGAAAGGACCTCCTGGACTCCTGTAAACCCCACTTCTTTCCAAGTCAGACAATCTGCTGCTGCTGGTACCTGGGTAGGCAGTGGCCACCATCTTTCCACACACCAGAGATGGACATTTTCACATGAGATGGAAAACATGCACCAAAAAAAACCTACCTTATACGGAAGTTGTAGCCCTCTGCAGCTCAGCCTTGTACATATACCTGCCCCTCTCTGGCTTGGTCCCCTTCTTACTTACCTTCTGTAAATATCTGTATCTAAACCAGAATATTTTGGCCAAATATAAAACAACAACAAAAAACAAGTCATGGTGTCATAGTCTGGGTTAGGGATAACCCCAAGGAAAGGCTATGGGCTATGGACATGGTGACTCACAGAATCATTAAATTAGCAGTCTCAGGATGAGAGAGAACCCTTTATGTAAAGCCCCTTCATCAAGTACAGAGAGAATGAACTTCCTCCCAACCTCTCTGGAACAGACAGAAATAGATTCCATATGCTATATTCCACTTTCCTCCTCAACCCTTAGACAGGAGTCGTTCTCCCTGCTCCACCACCCTCCCCTCTTCCCTGACAGGCAAGGGAAGATACTTCTCCCAATTGCTGAAGGTAATCCTCAGGTTCATAGGGCAAAGGCTGCCCCAGAGACAAGGGCACTGGTGTTGAGAAGCTGCAGTTCTTCCGGAATGGTGTGTCCAATGTCCTGATGTTACTGACACCCTGGAGGAGTGGCAGGATGAGGATAGATCCCACCCTCACCGAGCCAGAACAGAACAGTCTCTGCCCCGCTTTCTCCGCCCCCTCCCTACTCTCAACCTCTAGTCACCCTCACACACCAGTAGCTGCGGTGCCCTCTGTATCCAGAAGGTTTCAGGCTGCTCGCAACGGTAGTCGTGAGGCTGTAAGGGAGAGTACTGAGTAACTCCTGGCTTTCAGCCCTCTCTCTCAACCTCTGGGCCTGCAGTGGGTGGAATGGGTTCTCACCTTTGTTGGGGCAGGAGGCCCAGCTTGCACCAGCTCCTTTCGGTAGTCATGGTGTGTCACAGACTCAACCTCAAAGAGCTTCTTTTTGGGTTCTTGTTCTGCCTCTACCTCTTTACTATGCAGCAAGGGTGTCAAGGCCATTCTCCCCCAGTATTTTTCCTCCCCCATCCCCTTCCCTTTCCCTCAGTCTCTCACCAGATCTGGTGGTACAGGAGCATCTCCAGTACGGCTTCACGCTTCCCTGTGGGAGGGAACACGGGGGATCTAGTTAAGAAGCAGGCCCAGAAGAAACAAATTTGAGAAAAGGAAGAAAAACCTTGTGTTAGTGCCCTTATATCCATCAGACAATCCACAGTCCACCAGAAATTCCTTCCTCTCTTTTTTTCTCTAATGGACTCATTCTGGCCCTCTCATGCTTCATACCTCTAAGTGGCTGATAAGGCTTTCCCGGTGGCTGGTATGAGTCTTTCTGGGTGGTGCTGGAGGGCATGGGTGATGGTAGTTGCATGGTTAGCAGTCCCTGGTGTCCGTGTCGGAAGAAATAACTCTCAGAGCCATCCTGCATGCTTGGGACTTGATCCAGGTGGTTGGTGGCTCTCTGTGGGTCCCAAGTTGAGTGACTATGATATCCCTTCTGATTCTTACCCTTATCGTAAACTACTCCCTCCCCTAGGAAACAGGGAAGCCTTCAAGAAAAGGGTGCAGGTCAAAACCTTAATACCTCTTCCTCCCAGTTGTGGAGGAGACACTGGCCCCGTGGCAACATTTCACAGAAAACCTTAGGTTTCCCTTTAACCTCCCAGGGTTTCCATAGCCCTCGGGCACCAGGTTCTGAGACTTGCAAAAATTCCCAGGGTTGTTGTTTCTGGCAGCTGTGACTCAAGCAGGTATAATCAGCGGTGAGATTTCCAAACCTTGAAGGAGTGCAGGGGCTGAGCTCAGGGCCAGGGCCTGGACCAGGCCCAGAGGCAGGGCCAGGACCAGCACCAAAGCCAGAGTCAGGAACAGAGCCACAGCCAGCATCAGAGCTGGAGCCTGGAACAGGGCTAGAGCTGGAGCCTGGAACAAGGCTAGAGGTAGAATTAAGGTCAGCTGTAGTATAGGGATCCTCCATAATACTGGAAACATAGTTGGGTTCAAAACGAATACTCCCATGGCCTATTTTGTGGGTAAAGTTGGGTCCCCAGCGTGGTTCCCCAGCGAGACTGGTATCAGAGGAGCCCTCTGTGAGCTCAGAATAGGGCGCTGGGACCCATGTAGATAATGCTCCTGCTTTGGCAGTGTCGACGGCTGCAGTGGCTTCAGCAGCTGATGTAGCCGCTGCAGCTGCTGTGGTTGCAGTTGCCAAAGCAGACTCAGAACCGCCATCTGAAGAAGCAAACGGTTCCAAAGTGGGCCCCCGACCTTCAGAGCTGGGCGGTACGTCTGCAGATCTGAAAGAAAGCAAAAGCTACAAGGTTGTCAAAAACGCAGCAGAGGAAGTCCCTTTACCTTCCTCGTCCCCTTATGCCGGCAGCCAGAGCTGCGGCTCTCACCGCCAGGGCGATCCTTCAGTAGGCTCGGTCTCCATCTTCAGACCCCAGCTACCGGGTTGCCATAGAGACGGCAAACAATTCCTGGCGACTGCGCAGAACTAAGCTGGGCGGATGTGGAAGGTGAAGGTGGCGGCAGGTCCTCCGTGAGGCGGAAGTCTTAAACCTGGTGCGGTCTGGAAAGTCCGTTTTCCAGTCCGACTCCATTCTGCCTCAGCCGGGTTTTTAAAGTTCCGCTGGCCCAAGCCCTCGCCCTCCAAGCCCAGGCATGATTCTTGCAGCTTTCTGAGGTGATTCTTTATGTGGATATGTTAGAGACAGGCGCAGGGCTGTGGCATCAGGCAATAGTCTACTTGGTGTGTTTGTGGAGGGGCAACAGTAGCTTCCTCTCAGTTTGCTTAGTTCATTCTCAAAAGAAGGGTGGGTAGTCTTTAAAAAAATTTTAAGTATGCAAACACATGAACCAGCTTAAGAGCAAAATGATGAGACATATGGAGTAGGGAAAATGTAGCAGCTACCCCCTTCCCCCAGTGTGATTACTTCTCTAATAAAAGGCCCTCATTGACCACCCTCCTCCCAATTCCCCTTAGAACCTGGTTTGACCACTGAATAAGGGCCAGGACTGAGCAAGTCTTAGACCTGGGTTTCACGTTCTTCCTACTCATTCAGGCTCATCATACTCCTACTTTCTTAGAAGCTTGACCTAGGTTAGACCACTTGTCATGAGGACTCAATGATCTGGCAAGTGCTTCTTTTGAATTTTTCTTCTTCTTTTTTGAGGGACAGGGTCCGGCTCTGTCACCCTGGGTGGAGAGCACTGGTGGATCACAGCTCACTGTAGCCTTGAATTCCTGGGCTCAAGTGATACTCCTGAGTAGCTGGGACTATAGGTGTGCACCACTAGGCCCCTGCTAATTTTTAAATTTTTTGCAGAGATAGGGTCTGGTTTTGTTGCCCAGTGTGGTCTTAAACTCCTGGCCTCAAGCGATCCTTCCGCCTCAGCCTCCCAAAGCACTGGGATTATAGGCGTGAGACACAGTGCCAGCCAGCAGGTGCTCCTTAAACCACAGGTTGGGCCTCCTGAGGGTCTTTCACTCGGACCATAGTCAAGGGGGATCATAACCCTGAATCAGTTTTCTTTCCTTTTTGTGATATAAATCTTTGTATATTTAAGACAGGGATGCAAAATTGAGGGAGAGCAGGTTTATTAGCATCACAGAGTCCCTTCTTCCCTTCCCCATCCAAGCATCCAGGTCTGAGATCCTTGGTCAGTTTGTAGGTTCAACCTGGAGGCCACTGGAGCTGTCGGCCCCCAAGTACGTGAATATGCAGGTGATATACAGATTGTGCGCCCAGCTTTCCATCATTGATCACTGAAATGGAGCTTGGGGTTAGAGGGTCAGGATCACAGCAGAGGTTAAAGAATGAAGATCATATTGAGGAATATGAATTAGAATTCATAGGTGAGGGGCCAAGGGCCACAGGTCACTCACCAAGTCGGTATCCATCTCCCAGGCCCTCAGCCTTTGCTATCTTCTTGGCCACAAGAAGTAGGTGTCCTAGAAGCTATGGGGAGAGGGGAAGGACATATATAGGTGGCTTCATTCATAGGAAACAAAACCTCTAGCTGAGTTCAGAGCTTCTCCCAGCCAAACCTTGGACCTGTTCTTCCCACCTGCTGGTCTTCTTCTTCAGCCTGGCTAATCCGAGGAATGGGCTTCTTAGGAATGACCAGGAAGTGCACAGGAGCCTGAGGGGCCACATCACGGAACACGAGACACTGGAAGCAGTGACAAGCCAGAGGCCACCATGTTACTTCAATAGGCAGGATGGTATCTATGGAATTCCTAAGGGGATGGGTCCTAAGGGCACCCCACCTGCTGGTCCTCAAATAGAATATCAGCTGGGAGGCTTCTGTCCAGGATCCGGGAGAAGATGGTTGGGGCTGCTCCCCCAGGAGCTGCCTGCTGGGCCTTGGCCACTTCATTCCCATCAGTCACACCTGCAGCTCTTCGGACCTGAAGGTGGGTCACACACACCCATGGGAGGAGATTGGCAACACCTCTTCCAAGTACTTGGTTAGGGCTGGCAGAAGCTGGGCTCTGATAGTTAACTTTATCCTTCTAAGAACCTATTTGTGGTTCCCACCCAGGGGAAAAAGTTCCTGAATTTCAGAGCACAAGCAGCAAAAGGTAGGGCCAGATGGTACTGCACATGGTTAGATAACAGGCAATATTACTACCCAGGATTCAGCAGTGAAATTGATTCCTGCTAACATGTCTATGAAATCTAGCATTGTTCAGGGGAAAGCATCCAGAATGAGACTGGAGATTTAGGTCTCAGTTCCTATTTTAGCACTGAATTATACCTCAAATAAACCCCTTCTCTTGGCTTCATAAAGAGGTGGTGTGCATTATCTCTTAAGATGTCTTGAAGCTCCATTTATGCTCACCTTGTTAATACATTTCCACTTATTTCATGTTTTCTGATCTTTAAGCCTCGTTGCCTGTTTTATTTAGGTTTTAATGCAGTTGCCCTGTTCGATACTAACTGATCCCTCCTCTGGGTGCCACATCCGACCTGACTGTGGATTTTAACTCCTGTCCCTTGTATCAGTGGAGGTAAGAGTTCAGCTAATGACCTTAGCTCCCCCAGCCTCAGGAAATTTGAGGTAGGAAAGTCCCAGTTTCCCAGGGACTCGGAGAAGGCAGAAGTCAGTGTGTCACACTGGGGAAGAAAGGGACTGGGTGATGTTTTCTGATTCCTAAGTCGCTTCTGGTAAGTGGGGAAGAATGAAAGGTTAACGCGAGGGCTCATTAGAAGGCCAAAGGTCTGACAGGGGCAGAGGACTGGCTCACGTCCTGCAGGGGGCACCGAGGAGGCTGCCTGGAGCAGGTGCCAGGCCCGCTGGGCTTCAGGCAGGCGAAAGCAGCAGTCGCTGCGGTGACCCTGTCCCGACCTCGACGCCCGAGACTGTGCAGGGTGGCGGTCATCGCTAGTTCGCTCTCTGGAGCCACCAGTTCGATCTCACCGCACAGACCAGGAGCTTGGGCAGGAGGGGCAGCGGCCACAGCCGGACGCTCGGGCTGAGGTCCCGCGCGCTTTCGGGAGCTGGGAGGAACGCGGCCCCAGGCCGGGAGGGCGTCAGAGTCCGCGAGACGCCCTCCTTGCCCCCACGCTGCTTCTCACCTGCGCCCCCCACGGCCCCGCGACCGCCACGGCTCTGCGCGCCGCGCGCAACCCGGCGGCCAGCACTACGGCCGCAGCCATCTTCCCGGAGCCGCGGAAGGTCGGCCAGCACTCGGCTCCGCGGCAGCACGGAGGCGGGCAGCCAAGCATCCAGTGAGCTGCGGCCATTGGCTCCGCCCACGGGCGGCCCTGCAGTCCCATTGGAGCGCGCTCCTGGGCATGATTCACCCCCATTGGTTCTGCCGCCACTTTAGAGGCGGAATCTTTTCATCCCATTGGCTTCTGAAAACGCAGGGACAATTTTCCACTCCGTTGGTTTCCCTCTAGTCGGCGTGAACGTTCTTTCCTTATTGGCTCCCCTAACTATAAGAGTTTCCATTGGAGGTGGGACTTTCTCCTAGTTGGATCTGATACCCAACATTGGCTCGGCTTAGGTTGCGGTGGCGCTTTTGGTTCTAGGCTAGTCCTCTTCAAGTCTGGCCCCAACTGGTGGGCCGGGAGGAAAAGGGCGGGGCTCGGTCACCTGCTGCACACAGGGCTAAGTCATATAGACCCTTTCACCGCATTGGTCAGGAGGAGGGCGGGGTTCTGAGGGCATTCGGCGCTCATTGGCTCCAGGGAGTACCGGGCTGGGCTAAAGGTGGACTGGGACAGGGTCCTTTTTTTTTTTTTAACTGGTAGGGTCGATAGCCAGCATTTTCTGCCCAAGGGCAGTTTCAGCCCCTGAACATTTCAGAGATTTTAACTTACTCATCTAAGGGCAATTCCTCTTTAATTTTATATTTTTGTTAACATATTCACTCCATAGACTAAAGTTTGCAGCTTTCAGGGCGGTTTTTGCATCGATTTTTCAAACGGGCAGAGATGGGAATGTCCTGTCTTTGCCGCACTACTAATACGCAAAAAAGTATGTATCAAATGTTCTTTTCTAATCAGAAAAGATGTGTGATACCGTTACCTTGGTGCCTGGCATTTTCCATGAATCAGGTTCTGCTGGAATATATTTTTACGTAAGATACATGGAGTCACAAAATGCTGAGACACTGGGTAAGTTTTAGTCTGATATCACATAGAACATGTTACCACTGTATCTTTAAGGTTTTTTTTCAGCACATGGCCTAACACATATAGTTGCTTAAAAATTGTTGAATGAATACCATTTGGTGTTTCCTTTCATTTCATTTCATAATATATATGTATTACATATTATATTATTCTTCCACTTATCAATTTTTCATATTTTTACATAGTCTATGTAAATATACTTTGTAATGGCTGCATAATATTTCCATAAATGAGTTTATCAAGTAACCCTTTCTCTATGGTTGACTATTAGTGGAATTAGTTATAGGTGAATGGTTGTCATGGTGCATATAACCAGTGTTGAGGAACTCTTTGCTTCTAGAGATAGTACAATCTCTTTTATGTAGCTATATTATTGTTAGAAAGTCCTTTCTCCTCCTAAGGGCAGACATTTGATCCTGTCATTTTCTCCTAAAAGTCCAGGCTGCATTCCTTCCCTTGGAAGGACAGATGGCCTCCCTAAATGTAGGAAATGTAGAATGGCCTCTTCTCTGTGCCCAACGGCTACAGATTTCTGTGTGCCTCTGGGACACTGGGAGACCCTAGAGCTACCTTGGAGAAGGGCAAGAGATACGTGGATCTGGGATCTAGGAAGTGGAAGAAAATCAATCTGTAGGAGTAGGTGAGCACAAAGCACTTTGAAGCTCGTTATTTCTTTGGCTTTTCATAGAGAGCAGGCAACACAGAAGTTATTCCTGTTTTACAGATCCAGAAACTGTAGCTCAAAGAGGGAAAGTGACTTGCCAAAGGCTACAGAACCTGTTAATGTCAGAACCTCCTACTCCCCTAAGAATCATCTATGGCCTTCCTAGTCACTACCCCATATTCACTGATTTTGACTCCTGGCTCAATCTTCTCTACTCCAAGCACTTGCCATCACCTGCAGCTGTTCTCATCTGAAAACTGCAATGCTCTGCAGCCTCTGACCATTATCTCCCATACTTCAATCCCTGCCGCTACATCTGCTATAGGACCTCATTAGAGACTTCTATTTTTTTGACTGCTCCCTTTTTCAGTCTGTCAATTGCTTACTGGCATCACTTTCTTTCCCTATGTGTATGGTCTACTGCCGTCACATCTTCATGCCTTCTTTTGCCTTATTTTCCCGATTATACTCCCTGATACCCTCCTCTATTTTTTTTTGAGACAGAGTCTTGCTTTGTTGCCCAGGCTAGCGTGAGTGCTGTGGCATCAGCCTAGCTCACAGCAACCTCAAACTCCTGGGCTCAAGCAATCGTGCTGGCTCAGCCTCCCGAGTAGCTGGGACTACAGGCATGTGCCACCATGCCCGGCTAATTTTTTCTATATATATTAGTTGGCCAATTAATTTCTTTCTATTTATAGTAGAGATGGGGTCTCGCTCTTGCTCAGGCTGGTTTTGAACTCCCGACCTCAAGCAATCCTCCCACTTTGGCCTCCCAGAGTGCTAGAATTACAGGCGTGAGCCACTGCGCCCGGCCCCCTCCTCTATTAATCTAAATATTTTGCTTCTCTGCTCTAACTAGGTTCTCACTTTCAACTGCACCCTGAATCCTGAACTACTCACTGATCAGGTTTTTTTCCAACACCCCACATGAGCCTTCCCAAACCTTCACCTTTCTCTTCCTGTCTCCCCTATTCCTCCCTGGCCTTCTGATTATAGACTCTGGAATGGCCCCATCCCACTTTTATCCCTCATTCCATACCAGCAATTGGCCTTATTGCCTACTTCAAAAGGAATATCAAACCCATCAGAGGGGAACAAGATCTCATTCCCTGAAGCTCAGTGAAGGCACCATCTATCTTTTCTGCCTTCCTCTTGGTCTTAGGAAGTAGTGTTTCTCCTGTCCAGAGCAAATCCCTTCACCTCTGCCTTGACCTCATTGTTTGCCTCCATCTCTGGGATCTTAACTCACCAGGCATCTCACCTCTCTATTCTGTATCCTTCAAGGTCTTTTTGTCTACCAGCCTATTCCTCTTTTCCTTCCTAAAAAGGTGCTTCCTTAAGTCCACATTCCCTCTGGATATTATCTGATTTCCCTCCTGCACTTTCCATCCAAGCTTCTTGAGGAGACTCTTTCAGACTCTTTCAAACTCACTGCTGTTTGACTTCTGCCCCCACCCCAGCATGAAACTGCACTTTCTGAAGTCCTCAAAGCCCTTCTAATTGCAAAATCCAAAGGCTGCTTTTTGAAGTCTTTATCTTACCTACATCTAACGTCACTTCCCACTCTATTGTTCTTGAAATTTCCTCCCTTCTTGGCTTCCTTGAAGCTACTCTCCTTCTGATATCAGAGCCAGCAGCTTGACTGTGGGTGTGATGGAGGCAGATGGCTGGATCCAGCTTCTCTCCTGCCCCCAATAGGCATTGACTCTAAGGTATCAAGCTGTCTGTCCCTGAGCTAGGAGCCCCATATAGAGCCACATAGCCCCATACAGAGCCACGTCATGTTCCAATGACTTCCCCTTTATTGCTGATCTAGGCCAGCCTCACACAGGCCTGCGCCAGTTGTTGACAGTATCTGTCCCTGGAGGAGGGAAGAGCAGAGGTGAAAGGGTCAGGTATGAGGGTCAGATGTAGGGCCAGGCCGGGGGCCGCGTGGGCCAGGGAGCTGAGGGGGACTAGGGTGGGGGCTGGGAAGGCCAGAGGGCCCCTGCCTCTGCAGGGCCTCGAAGTCAGAGTTGCGGATGATAGCTTCTCCAATGACAGGCATCTCTGCAAAAGGCATATAGACTGTTCCTGGGGGTGAAAACCAGTGAAGGCATGGATGTGGGGGTGGCGGTGGGAGGGGTGAGGGAAGGGAGTGTGGTAGTCCTGGAGGGGATGGTTGAGGATGGGGGTGCCTTCCTGCCTGGACTTCTCACTATAGACCCTGAATGGCCCCATCCCAGGTTGCTGCCTCACCGTGAGGCCTTCCTCCTCGCCGCCGGGTCTCCTCTGTCTCAAAGAAAGTCTCGTGTTCTTCCCAGCGCCGGTCACAGGCCACACAGAGGAAATTAGACTCAAAATATCTGCAGCAACAACCTAGGGCAAAAGGGCAACCAAAAAGAGTATAGGAAATTGGGGTATCCCCATGGGCCAACAACATTCTCATCTCTTCCTCACCAACCACACACTCAAGTCTCTCCTACCAGCTCCCTATCATTATCCCCAAACTATTTGTATCCTGTCCCCACCCATGCCCTTCCCAATTTGCCCCTTGCCCTAGAAGTTACCATGATGCCTGCAGGGATGGGACCCAGTGGCCGAGTGTTCTTCATGGCTGTGTTTGCAGCGACATTGGGCCCTCCAGGCCTTGGGGTCAAAAGTGGCCCGTCTCCTGAGCCAGAACTCACCCACCTCCTCTGGGCGTGACGGGATAAAGCAGAACATGAGGCAGCGGCACTGGCTCACATTGCAGGGCACAGATATGTCTGTGGGAATGGGATGGGTGGTAGGGTGAGACCAGCATCTGGTAGGGCCTGGCCTTCCCATGCCAACCCCTTCCCCTGTGCCAATGTGTGTGCACATGCACGCACACACACACACACACACACACACACACACACATTCTCTCATACATCCCAAGATATGACAGAGTACAGTTATCTCTCCACATGTGGCAGGGGCTGGTCAGTTCTCCCCTACCTGAGATGATTTTGTGCTCTCTCAATAAGTGTCCACAAAAACATTTGGACTCATCCCCAATCCGGAAACAGTCCCATAGGTAATGAGGGCAGCGCCAGCCTATGTAGAGACCTAGGTGTGGAGGGATTGAGTAATAAGGAAAAGTGAAAAGGAAAAAAATCCTAAGCTCCCCTCAGGGGTTCTCACCTACCTCCTGAGGGGGTGGGCTCACCTTTTTTCCCAGGTGTATTCATCTCCACCTGAAAATCCTCACCTCTGCCCCTTTAGCCTTTTTTCCCCTCAAGGTTTCCTCATTACCCCACAAGTGTCTTCAGTTCCCTTCCTACCCAGGATCCACTCCATCTCTGTCAGCCTGTCAGAGTGACTTGAGATGGTCTTCAGTTTCTGAGCAGGAAGATTATAGATTAAATTTTGTTTAAAGGCTGGGCGTGGTGGCTCACGCCTGTAATCCTAGCTCTCTGGGAGGCCGAGGCGGGCGGATTGCTCGAGGTCAGGAGTTCGAAACCAGCCTGAGCAAGAGCGAGACCCTGTCTCTACTATAAATAGAAAGAAATTAATTGGCCAACTAATATATATAGAAAAAATTAGCCGGGCATGGTGGCGCATGCCTGTAGTCCCAGCTACTCGGGAGGCTGAGGCAGAAGGATTGCTTGAGCCCAGGAGTTTGAGGTTGCTGTGAGCTAGGCTGACACCACGGCACTCACTCTAGCCTGGGCAACAAAGCGAGACTCTGTCTCAAAAAAAAAAAAATTTTGTTTAAAGATGAACATGAACCTCACTGATTTCTTGGTGGCTATGGGGATTCTTATCTCCTCCCCTCACCACATTGCAGCCCAACTTTGCTTTGTTTCCTTGAAGTGTCTAAGGCGAGGGAAAGGGAGGATGATTGGCCAGGTGTACAGAAGAGGCTGGGGACTGGCTCCGAAGGAGCATGGTTCTTGAAGGTGCCTGAAGAGGAGGAGGTTCGGCAACCTGGTGCCAGGAGGTAGGAGGAAGGCTTCCCTCACTTTTCCAGGTTGGTACCTTCATAGTTCCCTTTTGTGTTCCTGGTGCTAATGCCTTCTATGAAGCTGAGAAGGGCGGCCAAAGGTTCTCCAAGGGTCAGAAGAAAGGGATGAGTCAGAAGTCATAGGTGATAAAGACTAAAAATTACAAGTTGCCAGGCTAACAAGGGAGGCATGGAAGGAAGGTGAGGCTAAGAATTACCCCTGAGAGCAGGGACCAGCAAGGGGCCGCGTTCAGCAGTGAGGTCTGAAACTGGCTTCACGGCCAATGTCAGCACAAGCTGCTGTGTTAATGTGGGAGGAGAACCAGACAGAACTTTCCATTCAGATTCTCTCATCCTCCGTGAGAGCTGAGAGCATCCCAACTTCTGGCCAGGAATCCTGTATAAGTCCCCATGGAGAGGGACCTTCAGCTGTAGGACTCTTATTCCCACTTAAAGGTGAAAGGTCACCTCCACCAAAAACCTGTTCCTGACTTGCCTGGTTTGTCTGTCTAGGCTCCTCCTCTTGCCTTCCAGACTGCCTTGTGCTACTCCTGTCACACCACAGTGCATTATAATGCACTGTTCACTCGTATTCCCATTAGTTTATGAGCTCCTCAAAGGAAGGATCTGTCTTTTCGTCCGTATCTCTAATCCTAGCGTGGGACCTGGCATAAAACAGGTGCTGAAAGAAGCTAGACTGCCCGACTGGCTAAATGAATGAGCAGGGTCCTTCAAGAGGGAAGAGAGATCCAGTATTCCAGGCATAACCCTGATGTTCCATAAAAAAGATGAGAAATATTTGGAGTCCCCTGGTCTTTGACTCTGGCCAGGGCCACATCCACAATTCTCTGCCTCAGACTAGGTTTTCTTGTCTTACCCATAGCCTCTCAGGATCTAAATCCTGTCCAGATGTGGCATTTGGCTTTGCTGCTTGCTACTGACAGCCTGTAGTGTCGATGTCCTATTACATCAGGGAGCCTTGGTTGTGAGGACAGCATACAGACAGTCACAATGGGGGTGGGCGGGAGCCAGGATTCCACTAGAGGAGTTCTGGCTTCTGTCTGGAGTAGCAGGATACATTAAAGGATCAGGTGAGGTGCAGAGGTGAACAGGGTCAGTGCCCATAGATCAAAGGCCTGGTCTGAGGGCCTGGGGCAGTCAAGTCCAAGTACTGGTGTAGGAATCAGAGTCCAGCATTCAGATGAAGAAGACTAGAATTTGAACAGGGAGATTGGCAACTATTCCTCAGATTCTGTTGCAGGTTTCAGTGCTCTTAAAGAGGGAAAATTGGTATCTGGCAGTAGATTCCAGTGTGGGACCCTCTACTCTGTTCTGATTCCAAACTCCCTTCTTGTTGAGTGGACAAGGACTGGCAGGGAAAAGAGATGTTATCTGGGATGCCTTTTTAATTATGTACAACACAGTCTAATTCCATGATCACATAATCACATTTGCATCATAACATCTCTTTATGCATGGAATGTCTCCATACAACATACAGCTGTCTTTATAAGAAGGATGTCTCCACCCTAGACCTCTCTCCTGAGCTTCAGACCCACAGGGCCAGCTGTCTACTAGACTCTTTCACCAGCATGTTCCATAAGCACGTGTTACATCCATTTATTCCCTGCAAACGTGGCTCTCATCCTTTGTCCTGTGTTCATCCAACACATGCTTACCAAGCAGCTACACTGTTTTAGGCATTCGGTTAATGGCACCATCAATCAGTTATGTATGTCAAAAACCTAGCTGTCATTCCAAGCATTTCTCTCTCTCACTTATCCTACATATCCAACGATCCAATGGTCAGTTTTACCTTGTTAGCATTTCTGTTCACTTGTCTCCACTTATACCCATTCACTTCTTACCTGGATTGTTCCCATGCCTCACAATGTATTATTCCCATCTCCAGTCTTGTCTTTCTCTGGTCTATCCTAGTGCCAGGGTGATCTTTTTCTTTCTTTCTTTTTTGTTTGAAACAAAGTCTTGCTCTGTTGTCCAGGCTAGTGGCGTCAGCCTAGCCCATAGCAGCCTCAAACTCCCCGGCTCAAGCAGTCCTTCTGCCTCAGCCTGCTGAGTACCTGGCACTACAGGCGTGCACCACCATGCCTAGCTAATTTTTTTTCTATTTTTAGTTGCCCAGCTAATTTCTTTCTATTTTTAGTAGAGATGGGGAGCAGGGGTCTCACACTTCCTGAGCTGGTCTCGAACTCCTGACCTCAAGCGTTCCTCCCACCTCGGCCTCCCAGAGTGCCGCTAGGATTACAGGCCTGAGCCACCATGCTAGGCCCAGGGTGATCTTTCAAAAACACAGATCTGTTCATGTGACTGTCCTATTTGGAATCTCTTAGTGATTTTCAGTTGCCCTCAGGATATAATCCCAACTCTTTAGCTTGGCACAGAAATGCCTGCACAGTTCTGCCCTTCTAGAGCTGAGTAGGCTACTCCCCACACCACTCTCTGTACCAGGCGTAATACATTGCTACAGTTTCCTGTGGTGCCTTGCCCTGCCATGTCTCACCTTACCCCACTTTTTAATTGGCTACCTCTTCCTACTCATCTTACAGGTGTCAGCTGAGAAGTCATTCTTTCCAAGGATTATTATTCCTCAAGCACTCCAGATTGGGTGCCCCCTTTTTCTGCTTTTTTCATGCAGGAGTCTGGGCTGACCTAGATTATAGCAACTATTAGAGTGAATTATAATTGTTCCTTTACTTATCAGTGTCTTTCATTACAGTGTAAATTATTTGAGGAATTTTGTCTTTGAACCCCTACCAGCACCACCACCTTCTCAGCTAGCTCAGTGCCTGGCACATACTTGGTGCTCAATAAATGTTTGTTGAATGAATAAAAGAAAAGCTTATGCTTGATATTGCTCTACATATCACATACAATGTTATGGATTTCTGACTCTCCAGGGACTCAAGATCCTCAATATTAGAAGGGGATCCCAAATATTTTTGTTCAAGGTGAATGACACTTAAATTTCTATACAAAACTGCCTGTTTAAACAGGAAAATGAAGAAGTTCAGTTCAAAGAAGAAAAGGAAATACAATGACCTTGAAGAGTAGGGAGTGAATAGGAAGTTCTGAGAGGGGAAATGGGGGCTGAACAGACCCTGCCTTTGCAAGAAAATAAGTATAACAGAAGATGTTAGGCAAAGAAAGCCATTTCAATATCTGAGTTGAGACTGAGAAACAAATGAGATCATTGTGACTTCCTTGGCTGGTGGGGAGGGGCAAGGGTCCCTGCATGGGAACAGGGGAAGTAAATTAGAGAGGAGGGATAAGGATATAGTATTACTTCGTTGTCTTTATATCTTAGGCCTTTTGACATAGCTCTGTTCCGATCATAAGGGGAAGGAATATGAAAAAGCAAAATAAATCCAGTGACATCTATTGAATTTAGTCTAGAAATCCCAGAATCCTTATAGCAGCAGGTCAGGTTGGCGACCCTCTTCCTGAAGGTAAGCCCTATGGATATGAAGGCAGTAACACAGGTAGACATGTGCACTTACACAGTTCATCTGTACATAGCATGTGCTAACAGGACTGTCAAGAGTATTAATTGTGGGATGAGACTGGGAATCCACAGGGCCAGAGGACTTGGCTCTCCTCTTTGGTGAAGAGACCCAAAGCTTTTGGTTACCTAGCATGGGCCTGGCATGCAAGAGTGACAGCTTTTTAATAGAGTGCCACCAAAGCGACTAAGGCCTTTGGCATGTCAGAACAGCAAGTCTCCTGGAAGACTGTCTGGGATCCAGGGTCATCCTTACCTTAGTGTCTTCTCTGAGTATAGGCTGTCTGGGCCCTATATCGGGGGTGGGCCTGTCACCTTTGTGTTTTTAATAATTTTAGTTCATCCACCTGTCCATGTCTGGGCTTTATATGAATACCCCCACTTTTTTGTCTGTGTCCTGGTATTCCTTGGCCCACCTGCCTATTTCCCTTCCAGATTCCAGGCATGTGGCATTGCCATTTCCAAATGGAGCAGCCATCTGTTGAATGGGCAGGTTCCCAGATCCTTTTGGATTGGAGGATGTCCATGGGCCTGTCACAGGCCTTTGAAAGGCCACCTGGGCTCACCTGTCTGGATAGCATTAAGGGCAGCATTATTCTCCCATTGGAAAAGATGATTCATCTGTGCATTAAACTCCTTTCTGTGCATTGCCTTAGCCACTGCCACCAGCTCTGCCTGCTTAGCAGGGACCCCTGGGCGGACTGTGTAACCTGGGAAGGGAGGGTCTGAGTAACTAGTGGGAAGTGAGGAGGCCCTAAACCTAAGAGAAGGGGCCATGTCCAAGAGTAACTCAGTCTCCTCCTTCTGAGGCAGGTCAAGAACAGTGGATAGTGGTGAGGACAGGGGAAAGGGCAGGAGCAATTACGGCTAACTCCTTTCTTCCCCTTCTTCTTGCCCAGCTGGTGTCCAGGATGTGCTGTGTGAGTAGGGCTGTCACTGGCATCCACTCCCTCCTCATCCTCTCTTGCCTCTTCCTCCTGATTTTCAGATATGTTCATGTAGACCTGGGTTGAAGGGCCTGGAAGGGAGTCCTTTGGAGAGCTCTCAGATTCAGAGACCTGGGTGGACTCCCTTGGCCATGAGACCTTATTGGAAGAAGCCTCAGGGGAGAGGTCTTCCCTCAATGCATCAGAGGAAGACACAGGGACAGGGCCTGCTGATGGGAGATGAATATCAAGGTGTTTCTCTGGGACCACTGAGATGTGACTATCCAATGGACCCTCAGAGGTAGGGGTCTCCAAAGGGATCCCAGAGATGGAGTATTCTAAAGAGGTCTTAGAGTTGGAAGGCTCCAGATGGGTTTCAGAGGTGTGGGTCCCTAAAGGGGTCTGAGAAGGGGATGGTACCAAGGGGGACTCAGAGGTGTGGGTCCCTAAAGGGGTCTGGGAAGGGGCTGGCACCAAGGGGGATTCAGAGGTGTGGGTCTCTAATGGGGTCTGGGAAGGGGCTGGCACCAAGGGGGATTCAGAGGTGTGGGTCTCTAATGGGGTCTGGGAAGGGGCTGGCACCAAGGGAGATTCAGAGGTGTGGGTCTCTAATGGGGTCTGGGAAGGAGATGGCACCAAAGGGGATTCAGACATATGGGGCTCTAAAGGGGTCTCAGAGATGGAAGGCTCCAAGAAGGTTTCAGAGATAGGGTCCTTCTGTAAGTCCTCAGCAGAGGGATTCTTTGAAGAGGGGTGCTCCTCTGCATCCATGGTGGTATGAGGCTCTTCTGTGACCTCGTCTGCTTCCATCTAGTGGTAGAATAGGGTACAGGCTACATTAGGTTGGGATTGGAGGGTCAGCATTTAGGGCAGAGCCTAGGATTCACAGGACATTATGGAATTAGGATAAGATTCTCAGTGCACCTGAGACACAAGAGGGAAACAAGATAAGCTCTGGGTCTTAGGGTATGATGCCAGCATGCCATGTGTTCAGACCTCATATCATATGGCTTGCTGGCGTGGGTTGTTAGGGAGTTGGAGTTTAAAGACTGAAGGGCTGAAGTAGGCAGAATCCCATCAGTAGATGGTAGCAGAGAACCATGCCCCAGGAGGGACCCGAAACAGAGCCACTTGGCCAGTCCAAGAGCAGGGTCCTTGGCATACCTTAAGACCCTGGAAGTCTGGCTGTGGGGTTCCAGAGACTGGGAATATCAAGCCAAAGTTGAGGTTGGCTCCTGAGAGTGCAGGAGAATGCAATGATGCATAAGTCAGAGCCCTGTGGATAGTCTGGTTTTGCCTAGGAACCACACACATCCTCCCTTGATGATGTCATTGATGTTCAAGGCTTCAACTACGTCTGGCTGTATGCTGATGACTCCTAAATCCATATTTCTAGTTCAGATAATTTTTGACTCCTGTACTTCACACTCATACCCAATCGCCTGCTGGACATTTCTAACTGGGTGTTCCCACAGGCATCAAAATAGAACACTGGGTATTATCCTAGTCATCTCCTTTGCCCATCTTCAAATAGGCACCAAGAACTGTATTTCGCATCTTCTAAATATTCCCAAAATGCATTTTCTCCTTTTGTTTCCCTCCAATTTTATTCATGTTTTCATCATCTTTGGCCTGGGTTGCGTAATAACTTTGCCCCTCCAATGCCATCCCTAGCATATTAATCCATTCCCCCTTTCTTTCATTCATTTATGAAACTTATACTTTCACAAAGAGCCTAATCATACAATTTTACTCAGGTACTGTGCTAAGAGCTGGACTTGGTTGAGTCTGGGAGAGAGTTTAACCACTTCGGTATGGGCGTCGACTATAGTCGATAGCCACAGATGAACGCGCACAGCCAAGCATCGACTTTAGCCGACAGTTGTGCTATGACTGAGCGTCGACTTTAGATGACAGCCAAAAGCTTTTACTTTTACAGCTTTTATTAGAATTAATTCTAATTTTTCATTTATCAAAATAAAATTGTGAACATTTAAAAATAACGTAATAGGCTGGGCGCAGTGGCTCACACCTGTAATCCTAGCACTCTAGGAGGCCGAGGCAGGTGGATCGCTCAAGGTCAGGAGTTCAAAACCAGCCTGAGCAAGATCGAGACCCCGTCTATACTATAAATAGAAATAAATTAATTGGCAACTAAAATATATAGAAAAAATTAGCCGGGCATGGTGGCACATGCCTGTAGCCCCAGCTACTTGGGAGGCTGAGGCAGCAGGATTGCTTGAGCCCATGAGTTTGAGGTTGCTGTGAGGTAGGCTGACGCCACAGCACTCTAGCCTGGGCAACAGAGTGAGACTGTCAAAAAAATAAAAATAAATAAATAAAAATAACATAATAAAAACATATATGTATATGTTACCTATTCTGATTTACATTACAAGTAAAGCTTCCAGTAAAGTAAAACAAGCTTTCAGTGCTTTAAAGCTTTCCTCATCACATGAGAGCAAAACGGACTATGAGTGCTGGCTGCGGGCAAGGTTTCGCAGCGGGTGAGCACCGTACTGAAGTGGTTAACCAACAATGACAATACAAATGAATTGATGTTGTGCTGGGTGAGATTGGGATGTGTGGGGAGGCGGGTATGCCTAATTTATGCTGGGAGGATTTAGTCCTCCTTCCTGACCCAATCAAGATCTTTCTAAAATACAAACCCAACACTGTCATCCCGTGACTTAAAAACATTCAGTGACTCAACCTAAAGCATTAAAGTCCAAATTTCTTGGCCTTGACATTCAGGGCCTGCCATTATTTGCAACACTGTCTGAGGATTCATTTCTGCCTTAACTTTCCCTGTTCTCTATCTTCTCCCCATGCTCCAGAGACACGAGATACATCTCTTCTTAAACTGATCAGAGCCTTTCTGAAGTGGAGGTTTGGGAAGGCAAGTAGAGGCAGAGGTAGGATGATAAGGAGGATGATGGCCAGAGTCTGCTAGAAGGAAAAGGGACCTGAGGGTGGTGAACCAGAGAATAGGAGGAGAGGAAGGGGAAAGAGAAGGAGAGGAGGAAAGGGGGTGGAGGGGAGGGTAAGGATGGAAAATACAGAGGGGAGGGGGTTGGATTGAGGGGTGGCAGGAGCACAGAGGTGTTAAGGAGGGAGAACGGGATGGAAGTTTGGAGGGGGAGGGCCATTGGAGAAACTACATACCTCTGGGCTTTGGCTTGGTTGTTACAAGTCCTTAGGTCAGGGTCTTGCCTTAGGATGGGAGGGGAAGTGTTGGTCCCGAGGGAAGGCTCATGGTTGTGGAGGAACCTCAGCTGCAGGTGCTGAGTGTTGAAAGGCCCTGCCCGAAAGTCTACTATTTGAGGGAGGGGACTTGGATATCTGCACAACTTCACAAAGGAGCGCTGGCCTGACCTGGGGAAGGATGGAAAGGGAGAAGGACAAGGGGGTCCAGGGCCAATGAAAGGGGGGCTTGACTGAAGCTTCTGGAGCCCCTGCCGGGAGAGGAGGGATCCGTCACCAGAGCAACCGGAATGCGTAGTAGTGTCCAGGGCAACAGCAGTCTGGTCACCACCCTAGCAAGTGAGGTCTCCTGAGGGGGCTGCATTGGGTCCGGAGGGGCCGAACCCAGAGGGTTCACTTCTGAAAAGGGGGGTTTTGCGGGATTTCTGTGAGCAAGTCTCTGGGTAGGATCTGCGGGTATGTGTGGGTACGTCCGTGGGGAGTCTGGGCTTGTGCAGGCCTCTGTAGGATTCCTCTGAGATTGCGCGGGGCGGCCGGCGGAGGCTGTGAGGATGTGAGGGGGCACCGGGCCTCAGCGCTTGGGGTGAGAAGGGCAGGATCTCAGGTAGCCGGGGCCGGGGCGGAGTCTGTCTGTCCTCCGGGCCCAGCGGGACTAAGTTAGAGGCCAATAGAATAGGACAGGGGGTGGGCTTTACTGAGAGGGACCAGTCCAACCGGTCCGGGGGCGGAGCGTCACGCCGACGTCAGGCCGAGGCCGCCGCCGCGGGGCCTGGTTATCGCCGGTTCAGCGCAGCCCGGAGTCGCCCAGGCCTGAACTCCTACCCAGGTCCCCGGCCCCGGCCCCGGGCCCGCGAGGACGCCGGAGGCCACCCCCAGGGGGTGGGGAGCGGAGCCGCGGGTCAGCTCTGCGAGCGCCCCGCGCTGGCCTGTCCGGCCCCGCCCCCGCCCCGGGCCATGGCCCAGCCCTTGTCCCGGCCCCTCGTCCTATCCCGATCCGGGCCTCGGCCCCCGGCCCCGCCCTCGCCCCGCTCCCCAGGTCGGCCCCGGCCCGGGCCTGGGTCCCAATCCAAGCCCCCCTTCCAGTTCCTGCCCCTGACCTGGCCCCCATCCCCGACTCGGCCCCTGTTCCACTCCCTGTCACAAATCCCAGCCCAGTCCCTGTCCCAAGCCCGTTCCCAGTGTTTACTTAAGGCCCTGGCTCAACCCCGGCCCTTGCTCCAGTCCCCCTCACGGCCCCTCCTGCCATCCCACCCCCTGCCCTTGTTCAAGCCCCAGTGCCCAGCCCAGCCCAACCCATTATCTCAGCCTTTACCCTCATCTCTGTGTTTACCCAAGTCTCTCCCACTAGCACCCCCCCTCTCTCATACTCTGCCCCTCTCCCAGCCTAGACTCAGGTCTGGGCTCCAGCTGCCGCCAGCCCTATTGCTGCTGTTGCTGTTCTCTGTCCTTGGCCCAGGGGCTGGTGAGTGCAGAAGCAGGAAAGATTGAGGCAGGAATGGGGTTCTGGCAGGGAGGGGTGGGCTGGAGAGGTACAAGAGAGGTGGGACCTGGGCAAATAGGTCATTGGGGAGCAAGTGGGGAGATATAGGGAGGAGAGAGGTTTTACACAACAAAGGGATTGGCAGGGTCAGAAGAATGGTGATTGGCTTTGAGGCTCAGCAGGTGGTTAATAATTACTAGGACAGAGACTCCAAGATTTTCTTTTATGGTGTCTATCCTGACCCCATTTTGACTCTTGCTTTCCAAGGGAAGTCTTGAGGGCTTTGCTTCTGCTCTCAAAGTTTGATGGGAGAGACATAGTCCCACATCAGAAGCCGCTAATCCAGTGTGGGAAGATACAGCCTAAACCTTTGAAATATTGGGCGTGTGTTCAATCAAGGTTAAGAAACAGTTTTGAAGATAACATGAAGCAAACAGATGGACATAGATTAGCTGATGTTATAATGAGTTTCTTCTTGTAATGAGTCCTGTTCCAAAGAAGCTTGATTTGCCTAGGAATAAGTACTGATACTTTTGGAGCAGGGTTGGAACTCAGAGGCCATTTTACAGATGGGGAAACTGAGGCTCGGCAAGGGAGCAATTTGTCCAAGGTTATACAGCTTGTAAATATCTGTGCTGGGGCTAGAAAAAGAGGTTTCCTAATTCCTACCCTATACTAGTGGGTTTTTTGCGCTGCAATATATGCCTAATAGAAAAACAGACCTGAGTAGGGAAAAGCTCAAAGCACAACATCTCTCTTCCCCTGTCTGCCCACAAGGTGGCTTCATCCACAAACTGTTCCTCATTTGTCAGTTATCAGCCAAGGGCCACCATCCGGTGAGAGAGTGACTTGGCTAGGAGAGGGAGAGGTCCAATTTTTTAATGGGTGGAATGTGGGAGGAGAAGGGGGTCCTGGTCTAGGGGATGTACCATAAAAATGGCCCTATCATGAAAAAACTGTAGTCTTCATGGTCCTGGCCCCTGGCCACGACTGGTGTCACTCTGGATAGGCTGGAGATGTACCTGATGGAGTCTGAGCAGTAATAGCTAACAGAGCAGCTTGGGGTTGGGGGGGGTTCCAGTGAGCCCTGAGGGCCTGGTTCATTGTACAAACTTTAGGAGATCAATGCACAACCAAGGTCACAGCCCCTGCAGAGATGCCTGGTCACTAATGCGTCTGTGTCTGACTGAGGGATCTGGGGGAATGCTGGCATATGCCGCATGTGTACATGCTGTGTGTTGGTGAGTGTAGACACATGTATGTGTGTGTGGTGCATGTGAGCTGGTGTATCTTCTGAGTGCCTGTTATTGTGTGAAGAGGAGGGGACATCATGTGGCCCATGCACATTCTTCTTTAGCTCTGTCTGCTCCTCATATGGATAGATCCCTGGAGCAGTGGATGGGGCTGTGGGCCCTTTCTCAGAGGAGTATAGTTCCTCAGATTAAGGCAATGTTGGGTGCCTCCCACAACATATGTAAGTAATTCATTCACCCCTAGCTAATCTTCTTGCAGGAAGGAGCCATGGGGGTGCTCAGCATTGGTTACTGCTGCTAGCAAGTTGGTCACTCAGTGGAGGCAGAGCCAGTCAGGTTTTCAGTTTTGATGAGGGGGAGTCCACACTGTTGAGCCCAATTTGTAGCTTCCATCCCTGCCATCATGGCTTCTTTGTTCATGAGCCCATTGGGCAAGCACTGGGCTGGCTAGGGAAGGAGAGTGACTAATTGCCGTAGAGAGTGTAAAGCTGCAAATTGTAGATAAAAAAAACAATTGCCCAGAAGCAGGTTCAGGTGCTTTGGGGAGAATTGTAATGAAGTTGGGAAAGAGTACCAAATAGGCCAAACTGTAGGCAGGGCTGCTCTCAGTTCTCTTAATAGTCAGTGCTTTGGCCACTGTGGCCTGGAGCGCGGGGTGCTCTGTGACCTAATGGTGGTGCTGAGTTTTGTCTGAGGAGAGGCTGGCAGTGTTGCAGGACCATCATAGCACAGGGTCTTTTCCTAAGGCTTAATTGACTGCAGTTGATAACCCAGGCATGCCCTGCCACTCCAAAAAATGATCTTTTATTCTACCTAGTGCTGTCACTAGCAGGGCCAGCCTCAGCCTATGTGTGCATGTGCTTACGTGTGTGTGCTTTGAGTGGTGGTAGGGAATCACCGTAGCTTCATCACAGAAATATTGGGACCTCCAAGAAAGGTTCTTCTGAGCTTGGTCCAGAAGCTTTACTCATGCTTCCTCTGGACACAGCCCCGTTAGGCTCCATTCAAATCTGAAACCAAAGGTGAATTGGGTTGTGGACCCTTTTTCAAGCATCTGCCTTCAGAACTTCTTCCAGGGTCCTCCCAGAATTCTCAGCTCCTGCTCACTCCTTTATCCCACTAGCCTATTCTGTGACCTCTGTAGCCCCTGGCCACTTTGGGGATGGCTTAGCTAGTTCTGCAATTCTCCAGGGCCTACCATGATCCTTTGAAGCACAGAGATCTTTGTGCTTGTCAATCCATACTTCCCAAAAATCATTTACTAGCTCCCCAAGAGTCTGCACTGAGGGGACTGACCAACATTTCTCCTAACAGTAGCAATGACTGATCAGATGAGCCATCCTTGGTACCAGCTTTGAGGCAGAGCAGCCCTTCCCTAACCCAGCGGGGGGTGCTCCATGTTCTAATTTCTTCTAACAATAGTATCCATGCTGTTCAACTCTTGGCCTTCTGTCTCCCCAGTTATCCCAGCCAGGGCTCCTAGGAAACCCATCAGTTGGTTCCATTTCCTTCATCTCTCTCAGGCTCTGTGAGCCTCTCTGGGTTTCTGGGCAGTTCTCAGCTTGTAAGGTGGCAGGTCTTCCTTGCTGACAGTTTAGACTGATCATGTGATCTGAGCTTGACAGACTTGTCCTTGGGTGTAAACACAGCCTTTGAGCATGAGCACAGGCCAGTCTAGGGCCAATGGCTTCCACTTATGTAGGGCAGCTTCCCGGAGGGTGACTCCTGAGGTTGCTCCAGTTCAGTGTGGCCAACCCTAAACAGTGCTCCTCCTCCAGCAGCCTCCTTTTCCCTTTCTCTGTTATTTCAAAAACACTTCATTTTTGGAGTTTTCTCTCCCATCTGCAGAGGGGGAGACTCTGCAGCTAGTCTTATCAGACTAGCTAAGCCTTTGGGTATTCCTATTTGGGTATTTTGGGTATTTCGTATTTGCCTGAAAACTCGCCTCCAGGGTCTCCCTTACTCCTGTCCTGAAGCTGCTGAGTTGCCCTCCTTCTCACCTGTCCTGGAGACATCCTCCTGGGCTTCTCTGGGGCTTGTCTGAAGTCTCCAGAGTAGTCAGATTCCCCAGAGATTTACTCTGGGGACCTCACTTGCCACTTGGGCCCCTCTATCCCTATGCTGCTGAGCTACTGGGTTACCTGCACTATTACAGCAGTTCTACCTCCATGTGTTTGCCTGGCTCACTGCCAACACGACTTCTGCTCACCCCTGATACTCGTAATCAGGTATCTCTGCATTTCAGCTGGAGATGACCACTTCCTCCCTGCCTCCCAGCCCAGCCTGCTCTGAATATTCCCAAGTGGTTTGAGATTTCACTGGGTCACCAACTGACTGCCTCCCTGGACTTCCCTCTAGGGAAACGGCCTCTCCCCTCTACACATTCTGACCCTAGAGGGCCTGATGACTCTCCTTTCCTGGGGACTCTCATGGTGGCC